ACCTGAGGCCCAGTACAGGCTGTATACAAAACCTTCCCTCTGCCTCCAGGTCGTGGAGAAAGGAGGCCCGTACCCCCTGATTGTCCTGCCCCAGTTTGGGGGCTATTGGATCGAGGACCCGGAGAACGTGGGCACGCCGACCTCCCTGGGCAGCAGCGTCTGTGAGGAGGAGGAAGAGGACAGCCTCAGCCCTAGCACATTCGGCTACAAGTTGGAGTGCAAGGCCGAGGCCAGGGCTTACCGCAGGCACTTCCTAGGGAAGGTAAGATCCGGAGCCTGGGGGCTGGGAAACAGCCTTCAGAGGGCATACACAGGACACCCGGTTTTCTTCAGTGCCTCTTTCCCTCCCTTCTCCTCCCCCACCCTGCCGCCCTTCCAAGGCTCCTGCCTCTGTCCTTAGTGAGGGGGTGGACACACTCTTCTGGGGTGTGTGTGGTGGGGCCCTGATGCAGGTATGCTGAAATCAGGAAGGCCCAGGGTGGCAGGATCTGGTGGGCACCCCCACTGGCAATGTTTCTGGGTGCGGTGGGATGGGGCATGTGCACAGGTGAAGGAGGGTGGTAGGAACAGGTCTGTTCTCACATCTTGAAAGTCTCCATTTCCGTCGAACTTGCGCACATCTCTCATGTCCTCATTCAAGTAGGTCCCCCAGGCACCTGTACTGTATGCTGAGCTGTGAGCCGCTGATTGCTGAAAAGTGATAAAGTTACATTTCTTTAAATATATCCTGCCCTTCAAACTTGCCAGCTTTCAGAAGCCCCAAGAGCAGAATCGGAGTCTCCAGCCTAAGGCAGCTTTGCAGGGGCTCATTGGAGGAGCAGCATCGGGCCAGGCCCTGAGTTCCTTGAAGTACATTACAATGCACCTTGCAGGCCTCCTCCCCAATCCCCCCCTTCCCCCCAAGCAGCAAGTCTGAGGTGGGCTCCCTGACCCGGAAGAGGCCCACCAGTCTGAAGGGCCCAGGCTCCCCCTGGGTGGAGATGCCAGCCTTTCTCCTAGCCATATTCCCACAAATTGAATTAGCAAGGTCTGTCCTACTAGAAAGTAGATGTGGAATCTTCTGATGAAGAACCTGAACTTCTCTCAGGGCAAACGTGTTTGAACCTGAACCTGTCACTTACAAGTTGTGTGACCCTGGACAGTTGCTTCACTTCTCTGAACATCAGTTTACCTATCTGTAAAATGGGGATGATGATGTTATATCACCCTTAGGTTTATTCTCCAGCTTACAGGAGATTAAGTGTTCTTCCCTCAGTCTAGAACATCCTGAGGGCTGGGCTGTTGAACCTGCTGCTTTGGTTACCTCTCCCCTCCCATCTCTTCTCCCCCAACCTCAGTGACAGCCATAGCAGTAGCATCTTTCTCTTCTGCCTTGCTGTGGGGGCTTCTCACTCCTGGTGAAGGAGGTGATTTTGGGGGCCTTATCTGGAGGGTCCCTTCCTGACGGCTAACATCCGACTTCTGTTTCTAGGACCATCTCAACTTTTACTGTACGGCCAGCAGTCTGGGAAACTTGCTTCTGTCCATCAAGTGTGAGGAGGCTGAGGGCATCGAGTACCTTCGGATCATTCTCAGGTGGGGCTGGGCCCAGAAAGACCGGTCAGACCAGTCTGGTCTCCTGTGGGGTGGGGGTGCCCCCCTCTCCCCCCCAACTGGCTGGCTGGAGTCCTGGGGCCCTGTCTGCTGCCAGCAGCGAGCTCAGGTGTTATTGCCAGCTGGCTGACTGCAGGAGCACAGATGTGTCCTCGGTGCTAGGTCACTTTTCCCATACTCCCCCTGCCCTCCTCTCCTGTGGGTTCTGTGGGACAACAAAGTAGGGGAGCACTGCGGGGTGTGTCTCCAGCACAGGTGGATCCTGCAGCATCTGTGTGTCTGCTGGGCTCCCTGAGATGCTGTGTGGCCATCGGGAGCCCGGGCTGTGCCAGGGCCTCTGGGTCTAGAGTCTGCCCTTCTCAAGGGCAGTAACCGGAGTTACTGTTTCTGTTTGGTTCAACTAAGGTGATTTTCAAAACCTTTTACCAGGACCCATGGGAGGGGCTGGGGGGCAGTGATGATGAGTTATGCACCTCCCCCCCCAACCTGTTCTCTAGAGGCTAAGGGTCTACGGGGAGGTCTACGGACATCACGTTAGTGATAGGCGTGGGACGCTGTGGGCACAGGGTCTGTCTCACTGGTCTCTGTCCCTGCTGGACTGGTAGAGAAGTGGGGAGGCCCGGCGTGCGGCCGAGTGCTGGTGCTTTTAGAGCTGTGCACCTGTCCAAGCGTCCATTTCACGTTTCTGAGTCTAATTGGAAATCCTTGAAGGCATTTGGACAAGAGCGATAGCAATTCTTTTTTCCTGCTCAATTTTCAGATAAATAAGTGAGAGAACAGGGACTCATAACCTTGCTGTGGGAGAGGGAAGTGTGTGTGCTGGGGGGGGGGTTGTAGGAGGAAGCTGTCAGCACCCATCCAAGCTTGATTTTTTATTAAGAAAGAAAGCACTTTTCCTTACTGAGGTTCAGCAGGCTCGTAATCATATTTGCAAGGCATGGGAAGAGTCAATTAAATCACAAGAACCAATTTTCTGCGGGAGTAATACCTGGACCCTCATTTCCAAATAGGATTTTGAATGAGGTGAAGCTCTGCAAAGAAAAGTGTTTCTTCTTTTTAATAAAAACCAGCCCCAGATCGGGTAGGATTTTTGCTTAAGATGACAGTCGAACACAAGGATCTTGCTCCTTGTCCTCATGCTGCCTTTATCTGACATGCTGCCTCTGGGTTGCAAACTAGAGAAAGATGCGAGAATTCAACACACACTAAGATGATTTTTGTTTTGATAATCTATGGGGAGCAGCACCTACTATGATGTAGGTGACAGAGTTGAACCCAGTTTCCTTCCCTGAGGAACAGTGTGGTATGGGAATGTATGAAGTTGGAGGAGAACCCTTTATTCCTTCGCAGTGAGTATGAGCCTTGGAAGGTTCCCTGGAATGACCCAGGGATCTTTGTACATAGAGACATTTTTGTTGTTTGGGGTCAGTAGCATTTGAAATCACTGTCCTGGGAGCCAAGGGCTAGCTCAGATGTGGCTTTCTCAGATAGAAGCCAGTGAGAGGAATGGTGGAGAGAAGCCATATACCAGCTGGGTGGTTGGCTAATCACATCGTGTATTTGGAGTGATGGCCAGACCAAATTGGCAGCCAGGCATAAAGAAATTGGCTCCATGGCTTAGCAGCTTTATCAGACACAGAGAAGAAAGTATCCAGAGGTGAAATTCCCTGTTCAGCTTCCTCCTCATTCATGCAGGGTTCTAGATCATTTATGATCTCACACTTAGGCTGACCAACTCTCTTGCTTAACATGTGGAGATAGGCCCTCCCTGGTGGCGCAGGGGGTTAAAGCACAGCACTAAGAAGCTTAAGCCACTTCCGCATGAGTTCGATTCCCACCTGCCCTGGAGGTGACCAAATGGCGTGGCAGACCTCTCCTGACCCGCCCGCTGCTCCCCTCAGCAGTGTACTGCATTGATCTGCCTGTTCTGCTCCCCGCTCTGTCTCTGGTGAATCCTCTCACCCTCCGCATCTCTGGCCCGTACCCCAGTTCTGTATGCATAAATAAATAAATCTTTAAAAAAAAATCTGAAGATAATATCTTTTGTTTTAATAAGATTTATTTATTTATGCATACAGAACTGGGGTACAGGCCAGAGGTGCAGGCGTGGTGAGAGGATTCACCAGAGACAGAGTGGGGAGCAGAACAGAAAGATCTATGAAGTACACTGCTGAGGGGAGCAGCGGGTGGGTCAGGAGAGGTCTGACCCTTCTCCTGGGGGCCATCCCCCTGGCTGGGATCGAACTCATGCTGCAGTGGCTGCAATAGCTTCATAATGCTGTGCATTAAGCTGGTGCGCCACCTATTTTGTATTTTTTTTTTCTCCTTGAGTCTGGCGCCTTAGACCACTCAGCCATCCTACTTCGTATTTTAAACAAACTTCTAGAAAAAAATAAACCCTAGGAAAGAAAAGACAAAAGATTAAATAATGGAGAAACGAAAAAGTTTGCTAAGTTAAGGGAATAATATAAGAAAATGAAAATTGCCAAAAAGAATTTTAGTGGTAGAAGCTACTATCTGAAGTTGTCCTTAGGAGAAAATTCATTGCCATAATTGGTTTCTTATTAAAGAACAAAGACAATATTTGCATGCTGTTATTGTCAGTAACCTTTCTGTGCCTCAGTTTCTTCATCTGTGACATGTGTGATTTTTATCAACCTTCTAATTATGGGGTGTTTACTATTATGTGCCAGAACCCGCCTGATACACAGTAGATACTCAACAACAGTAGCTGCTCTTATCATTCATATTTTCCTTAAAAGAGTGAGAAGGAGGGATTAACAAAGATTAAAGCTGATATAAATTGGAAATAAGCAGGAGACTTGATAAATCTAGGCTACTTTTGGGGAGACAAAAGTATCAAAATAGATAACTAGCCAATCAAGTAAAGATAAAAAGAAAAACAATGATACACAAAATTAGGCATTAAAGAGGCACATAACCACAGATGTGAAGAAAATGAAATAATTATTCATGTAATATTCAACCCGTGCAATTAAATTGGAAAATTTACTTGGAACAGCTGCCTTTCTAGGAAAGTATAAATTGTCTGATGTAATTTAACCTGAGGGGAAAAATCTGAACTGATCATTGACTAAGGAATACATTGAAAAAATTCTTCAATAATTCTCTCTCCAAAAGTTTCTATCTATAGATGGTTTGCAGGTATTTTTAACCTTTAAGGAACATATTTCATGCTATTTAAACTGTTCAAGAGGAAAAAAAATATGGAAAGCTTCTCACTTAATTCAACAACGGTTAAAAGATTCTCATGAAAAATATTAGACAAGTGAAATTTTAAAAAAAGAAAAAAATAGAGGGAAGATTACTTATGATATAGACATGTGAAATTCTAAACCAAATACTAGTCTCAGTAATTCAAATCCAAGTAATCTAATAACAGAGAAATTCATTACACCCAGAAAGAGTTCCTTTAGGAATGCAAAAATGGCCAGTATCAGCAAATTCATTCATTCATTCATTCATTCATTCATTCATTCATTCATTCATTCATTCATTCATTCATTCATTCAGTGTTTGTTTAAGGCTTAGTATGTGCCAGACTTTCTCTGGGCGTGGAGATAGTGTGAGGAGTAAGCTCTTCCCTCTGACCTGGCTATAGAAAGCATTCAGTATGTGTTAGCTATCCCCATTCCTGTTCTTATTTTCACCTGTTTTCTTATGGGTTATTATAGATGAGTGAGGGTGGTCTGAGGAGACGTGCAATGGGGGATCTGAAAGAAGGTCAAAACAGCTTGAACACTGAGTATGTGTCTGAACGTGTCTGAGTGTGAGTGCGTGGATGATAGAGAGGTCATTCTGGGAAGGGAAGAAGAGATTAAATCAGTATTTTGGGTTTTTTTTTCCTGTCTTTTTCTATTTTTTTTTAAAGAGAAAGGGGCAACATGTGAACTCCTGGGTTTGTAATATAACCTGTCATACATTCATGTTCCTCTTTATTCTGCCTCTTTCCCTACAAAGTACACATGGGTTGTGACAAACTAGTGGGAAAAAAAAAATCAGTAAGTGAATGTTTGCAACAGCAAAAAAGCTGGGTCATGTGTGGACTATGTCTAGGAACTTTGAGTTTATCTTAGCATGGAAGAGCCACTAGAAGGTGAAGGCCATGCTCAGGTTTGCACTGGGGAAGCTTCTCTCTGGATGGAGTGGGGAGGGTGGGGTGGGGGAGAGGCGACAGAGGGGAAAGGCAGGCAAATCCGGAGGCTGGATGTCTGAGGAATGTGATGATTGTCACATTGACCATGCAGATGTGATGTGATGTGAATGGTGCCCCCAGAGCTGTGCAAACCACCAGCTCTGATGGGAATAGAATCAGGGTGTTTTACACTAAGGATAGAGAAAATGTCAAAATACATGGAGAAATTGACATGAAGAAAGATAACTCAAATCATCAATGTAAAAAAGATGGATTTACTGCTGATGAACTGCAAATAATTGTACACTTTCAAAGTGGCTTAAAAGTAAGTATATTTACTTAAAGAGATAAAGAATAAGGCCCTCCCTGGTGGCGCAGCGGGTTAAAGCACAGCACTAAGATGCTTAAGTCATTTCCTCATGAGTTCAATCCCTGCCTGCTCCGGAGGTGACCACATGGCGTGGCAGACCTTTCCTGACCCGCCTGCTGCTCCCCGCAGCAGTGTACTTCGTTAATCTGCCTGTTCTGCTCCCCACTCTGTCTCTGGTGAAGCCTCTCACTGCCCCTGCACCTCTGGCCTGTACCCCAGTTCTATCTGAATAAATAAATAAATCTTAAAAAAAAAAGATAAAGAATAAATATCATGTAGAAAAGGGCTAATAAATTGCTAGAATGGATGATTAGAAATGAGTCAAGGATGAATACACATGGGTATAAAAGGATAACAAGTGGACTTGTTGGACATAAAAAAATAGTTATTGACACAAGAAAACTCAATGCATTAGGATAAAATCTAATCTATCCTGTTCAAAGAGTGAACTTACGAATTGGAAGATAGTCTTGCAGAATTAATCCACAACGTAGCACAGCTAGAGGGAACAAGTGTATGAGAAAGGAGGTAGCACCTCCTTCACCTTCTGAGAGTCCCCAGAATTTGTCTTAGAGTTTTAAAATAAAGACGTGGAAAAAGACATGGGAAACTAAGAAACTAAGATAATGTAGCAACCTTAATATAGACAGAATGGCATTTAATAAAAAGTGTTAGTGGAGACAAGGGGAGTTGATTTCATCTTCACACTAAGCTATGTGCTTGCTCCTGGCCTGAATTATTATTTTTTGCATTATTTATTTAAAATATTTATTTATGCATACAGAAATGGGGTACAGCCTGCGTTGCAGGGGCAGTAAGAGGACTCACCAGAAACAGAGTGGGGAGCAGAACAGGGAGATCGATGAAGTACACTGCTGAGGGGAGCAGCGGGTGAGACAGGAGAGGTCTGCAGCACCATGCGGATCACCTCTGGGGCGGGGATGGAACTCACATAAGCAGCCACAGCTTGGCTTAACTTAGCTTCACAGTGCAGCGCTTCAAATCTCTGCACCACCAGGGAGGGCCCCCTGGCCTTGATTGTTTAACGAAAGCTTTTTAGATCCCAGTATCCCGACTGCCTTACTGTTTTTTAAATTTGTTTCTGAATTTGTTCAGAATCCAGACAGGGAAGATGCCTTTTATTGATCCCTCAGCTCCTCAGCTTCCACGATGATAGAGAGAGCTGTCTACTGGGAAGATCAAACAGTCATGAGTTTGTACCTAGTAACAATCTTGAACTTGAGAAAACAAACACTGATAGGAATATAAGGAGTAGACAAATCCTAGTGGGAGATTTATAAATTTATGTAATTTATAAATTATAGTGGGGGATTTCACATTTCCATCACATTTCTCAGAAACTGATGAGCCAAGTAAAGAAAAAATTGTGAGCATTTAGATTTGAACAGTACAATTATCAAATTTAATCTTGTAATATACTTTCCCAATCAGCAGCAGGAAAAAAAATAACATTCCTTTCATGCCTATGTGGAACATAGAATTTTAAGTTAATATGTTAATTCAATAGACTTCAAATAATTACTGCCATGTAGATTATGTTCCCTATATATAGGACAATTAAATTAGAAATCAATTATTAAAATACTGAAGAAAAATCTCATACATTTAGAGAGTTAAAAGAAAATGCTGAAATAGCTCATGGGCTAAAGGGAAAATCACAAAAGAACTGACAAAATATTTAAAATTATATGACAATGAAAATACCACCTATCAATGTGTGGGATGAAGTTAAACTGGTACTTAGAAAAAGATGTATAGTTTTTAATACATTCATTAAAAAAGAAGAAAGATTAAATGAATAAGTGTGCAGGTCAAGAAGTTAGGAAAAAAGTAGAAAAAAAAAACTCAAGGAAAATGGAAAGAAATAAAGATAAGAACAAGCTAGTAAAGTAGAAAGAGAAAATAAAGAAGGGTGGAGACAATCAACAAAACCAGAAGTTATCTCTTTGAAAATTGTTAATAAAAGGGGGCCTCCCTGGTGGCCCAGGGGTTAAATCTCAGCTATCACTATAGGGCCTGTGGCCAGGAGCTGCCCCACATGACGCAGCAGACCTCTCCTGTCTCACCTGCGGCTCCCTTCAACAGTGTATTTCAGTCCATCTGCCTGGACTGCTCCCCACTCCCTCTCTCTGGTGAATCCTCTCACTCCTCCAACCCCCTGCACCTTTGTCTTACACCCCAGTTTTTCTATGCATATATAAATAAATCTTTAAAAAATTAATAAAACAGATAAACCTTCAGTTAAGACTGATTGAGGAAAACAGAAGATGCAGATAGTGTCAGAGTAATAAAGAGCTACAGCTACAAATACAGATGAAGTCCTCAGAGGATACAAAAGCAACTTTATATACATTTGATAAATCATTTTATAGAAAAAAATTATCAGCTTTGATCCAATAGGAAGTAGAAAACTTAAACATTGGTCACTGAAGAACTGACTTGGTGGCCAAAAATATCCTCCCACTAAAAATAGGCTCATAGATTTCACAGGTGACTTTTAGGGGCTATGCCACCTTTAGGGACAGAAGATGCCCATGTTCTACAATCTATTTCCAAGGATGGGGACTCCATAGCAATTTGTGAGCTGGAATAACACCTTGAGATAAAAGCCTGACTAGGTAAGTACAAGGAAAAAATATAGGTCAGTGTCGTTATTAAACTTAGATGTGAAATTCGAGATAAAATATTAACAAACTCATCAGGATATTTAAAAAATAATGCATCATAAGCAAACACAGTTTTACCCGTGGAAAGAAAAGACGGTTCACAAAAATGTTATCCACCAGGTTAACAGATTCCAAGCCATACGATTATCTCATCAGAAGCAGAATAAGATTCAATAAAATCCAACACTTTCATAATGTGCTAAATGAATCAGGGGAACAGGCTAAATTTAGAATCTTAGGGTGAATCCCTTTATAAAGTGACTTTCATTCTATTTATATTTTGAATAAATCCAGATTTTTCAGATATTAGGTTTTCTTTTCATAATGGTTTAATTGTATAGGAGAACCCAAATTTATCCAGAAACTGTGCTCAATTCTTTGGAAGAACACACATCCTTAAACAAACCAAAAAATAATGCTGAATTTGAAGGTGATTATTTGCATTTCCCATATTTCAGATGCAGGCAGTTTTACCAGGCAGGGTCTTTAAATATCCATCTCCTAGGAGGTACTTAGGTAGGACATCAGGTTTCCACCCTTTGCGTGTGGGGTCCAACCCACAGGTTGGGTGAAATAAGGCAAGTCTGACCCCAGGAGACCTGAGGCAAGTGGTTCTTTCATTGGTTTGCTGTGACCTCAGCACTTCCCATGGGGTCAGTGATCCCCTTTTCTCACCGCTATCTGCGTGTGCAGGTCCAAGCTGAAGACGGTGCACGAGCGGATCCCTTTGGCCGGACTGAGCAAGCTGCCCAGTGTCCCTCAGATTGCCAAGGTAAAAACCTACCCCTGTTACAAACCAGTGTTATCTCCAAAAAGGAGAAAACTTACCCTTAAAAGAGGGCTGGCCAGGCCCTCCCTGGTGGCGCAGCAGGTTAAAGCACAGCACTGAGAATCTAAAGCGGCTTCCGCATGAGTTCGATTCCCGCCTGCCCCGGAGGTGACCACATGGTGTGGCAGACCTCTCCTGACCCGCCCGCTGCTCCCCTCAGCAGTGTACTTCGTTGACCTGCCTGTTCGGTTCCCCATTCTGTCTCTGGTGAAGCCTCTCACTGCCCCTGAGCCTCTGGCCTGTATCCCAGTTCTGTATGCATAAATAAAAAAAGAGGGCTGGCCAGTGGTTGCTGGTAGAGGCTTGTCCTGGGTGGGCTGTGCCCAGGGGCAGGGAAGGCTACCTGCCTACCTCCCTCACCCTTGACTGCATGATAGAGTGGGGGAGGTTTTGGCAGACACCCCCATCTCTTCTCCAGCCTCCTCATCTCTTCCTTTCTGCTGAAGCTGCTCTGGGAACAGTAAAATGTATGGTCTCCGCCCCCGAGTTCACAGCTAGTTCAAGAGACAAGAGAAATGGAATAATGGGGCAGGAGAATGTTGTGGGAGGATGGGGTGGGGGTGGCCAGAGGAGATTGAGGACCCCCTCAGGAAGGTGCCAGTTGCTGGTCGTGGGGCCCATGCCACTGCTCCTGGCTATTGGGAACTTGGGTTAGACCCACACTCTGGGAGTGTAAGGTGGCCAGAATTGTCTCATATCTCCATCTTTCTGACCGCCATCTTTCTGAAACCTCTGGAAGGTTAATTGACTTTTCTGGGCATGTGACAGTGAGGTGCGGGGTCAGGGTTCCCCCAGGCTCCCTCCTACCTGCCCTAGAGAGCCCACTCTTGGTTAGGAGTGCAGATGCTCTCCATGTATTTGGCCCCTGAACTCTGTTTCTCTGTCCCTGCTCAGGCTTTCTGTGACGACGCAGTGGGACTGAAGTTCAACCCCGTCCTGTATCCCAAGGTGAGGACCTTTACCAGCCTCCCCTGACCCCACCTGCATGTCAGGAAAGATTTGTGCACATGTGGCTTTATGGGAGGGTCTCTGTGCTCACCCCTCGGCAAATTGGTCCACTGGGAATACATCCTTGCTTTGCCCTGCCCACCTGAATTGGCCCCAGCTATTGTGGAGGTGGCAGGGCTGGGGCGGTGGGGACCACTTGTACCTCCCTGAGGCCAGTGCTGGGGTGGTAAGTGATTTTACCTAGAGCTGGGGGACTGGTGCTAATCTGGTCAGTCGTCATGGGGCGTACAGGGACAGAAGGCAAAATCCCACCAAGAGATAAGGGGCCAGACTGTGGTTCCCCATCGCCAGTGTTACTGCGGAGCGGAGGCCTTCTAAGCCTCTGCTGTGTGCTGGTTGGCTGGTTCTCTGTGATCAGTTTCCTCAAGACTGGCCTGCTCTTGGTATGGATCAATAGTAACAAAACAAATCAAGGAGCCCACTCAGGAACAACTCCAGCATGCATGGTGTGTTGCTTCAAATTGACCACAGGAGGGGACCCAGTGCACACACTGTTCTAAGGACCTGAAGACAGAGGCAGAGGGCTATGTTTCTGGGCTTCTGAGCCATTGCTGTGGCGGCTGGGGCTTGCTGGAGCTGGTCTGTGCATTTCCTGACTCCAGTGTGATGACCAGGACTCATCAAGTGGGGAAGAGCCCTTTCCTGGCTGGGACACCTAGAACACTCTGGAAGAAATATCTCAGATGTTCAAATGCACATGGCTTCTGCCCATGTGCAGTGGCTGAGCTAAAGGCAGGGTCTCTTCCTGCACAGAGAATGTGCCAGAACCCTTCTTTCAGGCACCTCTTCTCAGTCCTCTGAACATCTGTGTTTACTCAACAGTAATCTGTTGCACTCCACTGAACGTTTTCTATCAGTCCCCCCTCTTTGTAATTAAAGTTGAAATTGTGAGGTTTAACCAAACATTAAAACCCATCATAAAGGCCTAACTTAACTACAAGGTTGGCAATTTTTGTTGTCAAATCATACCCTCTGAGAGGGCCCAGTGACGCTCCTTTGCACAGTGCTAACTTGGAAAGCCTCTGGCTCTGGTGAGAAAATAAGAGCAGCTGCATGTTTATATTTTCTATGTCCGAAGGGCTGCTTGGTCTGGCTAGGATGCTCCTCTGGCAGAGATCTCTTTTTAAAATTTGTGGAGTTGAGGAAAAAAAAATTTGTGGAGTTGGGCCGTTCCTTGGATGGTTCCACCCCCTAGACTCATCCCTGTGGCAGGTGGGGGCTCCCTCTGGGATGGGGCAGCAGCCCTCTTGCAGGGGCACCTCCACTTGCTGGAGCAGCTGGGGGCCTCACAGGTACACAAAGGGTGTGACCAGCGCCCACCGGCCAGTCGTGCCTGGCTTGTTCTTCCCCTCAGTAACCCATGGCCAGATCTCTCCTTTTAATTGACGGGGATGCCCCACGAGCACCCAAACGTCCCCTCCCAAGGATGGTTCAGCTCTGGTCTTTCTGGAGGGTTAGGTGGTGATGGTGACTGCTGCTATGTACCTTCTTCCCAGCACTGATGTGCCTGCTCTTACTCAGTCTCCACACCACCCATGTCCATGGGCCCAGGGAGATGAAATTGCTTGTTCAGACCCACCTAGGTAACTGCAGTGCATTCAAAAGTCAGTTTGGTCGCACAGTAGGAAATGACCCATGGCAGGGTTTATTTTTCCCTTTGCCTGTCAAATGAGGGTAGTTCCTCAGGCGGCTCTGCTCTGAGGCCTCTCATTCTGTGGATGGGAGCTGAAGTCTTGAGGAGCAGCGCTGTGCTCATCAACAAACGGGCAGACCTTGCTCATTGCACCCTGCGGACGCTTGACATGTTGAAGGTGTGTGGCCCGTGCTGAGCGGGGTAGTGGTACTGTTTTTTCCAACAGCATGTGCTCACTTCATTTTTCATGTTTTAGCAATAGAGGATTTTTTTTTTTAAGTGAAGGCGTGTATATATTTTTCTGGACATAATACTGTCAAACACTTTGGGCTCTAGTGTAGTATAAACACATTTTGTACATGCACCGGGAAGCCAAAATATTCTTGTGACTCACTTTATGATTGTACTGGCTTTCTTGTGGTCTGCAACCAACATACACCATCTCTGAGGCGTGTCTGTGCTGCTGATCAGAGGGGCAGTTAGAGCTGACACCATGGACCCTTCGTAGGCCAGTGTTGGGGTCCTGGGCTTCCCTTCTTAAACTGCAGATAGAACACGGGAGTACAGTTGCTTCCCGAGGCCTGCTGCACTCCCAGAGCGCCCAGCTGGCCCTCCTGGATGGGAATGGAGGGTGATGCAGAGATTTGGTCTCCACTGGCAGAAGCCCAGGTGCTGGGAAATAGCTGAGGCCTTTGGGGAGTCCTCCTACCACCTGCTTCTGACTTCACCCTTCTTCTTCCTCTCCTGGTGTGGTGCCTCACACCCCAGGGCACGTTCCTCACTGAAATGGGTGCCTCCCCTTCCACTTGCTTCCTCGATGGCCTCCTAGTAAGTAACTAATTTGAGTGATTCTTCTCTCTTCCCAGGCGTCCCAAATGATCGTGTCCTACGATGAGCATGATGTCAACAACACATTCAAGTTCGGAGTCATTTATCAAAAAGCCAGGCAGGTAAGCACCGTGATCCATGCTGGGTGATATGTCTTGTGGCTTCTCTTTGAGGGCCCTTACTCACCTCCCCCCTGTATGAGGTTCTTAAACATTCTGAAAATAACAATCACCTTCCAGGTAGAAATTCCATTGTAGGTGGCAGTATCTTCAAGGTAGACTACTACTCACAAAAACCTCCCTGCAAATCCTTTTAATAGTAACTCAGCTTTTCTTTCTTTTTAAAGATTTATTTATTTATGCATACAGAGCTGGGGAACAGGCCAGAGGTACAGGGACGGTGAGAGCATTCACCAGAGACAGAGTGGGGAGAAGAACAGACAGACAGATGAAGCACACTGCTGAGGGGAGCAGCAGGCTGGCCAGGAGAGGTCTGCTGCGCCATGTGGGTCAGCCCCAGGCCAGGGATCAAACTCATGCCGAGGTGGCTTTAGCCTGTTAGTGCTGTGCTTTAACCCACTGCGCCACCAGGGAGGGCCGTAACTCAGCTTTTCATACAGCAAATTCTAATTCTTCCTGGCCACTTCAGCTTATAGTCATCTATGGGCTGTTGGTCACAAGGAAAACCTGACTGGACAGAAGCCAGTGGCTTAGCACGAACTGCTCTCTCTTTGCTCGACATTCTTCTAGCTGGGAATAGCACCCCTCACCCCCTAAATAAACTTCAGTAGTGAGCCAGCTATGTACATTCTTCCCAGCTCTGTTCAGAGATGTCATATTAGTAGCTTGAACCAACCTTGGTGGAAATATTTATACCATGGAAAATGCCAACACCACGGCTTGTACTTTTCCCTTTTAGAGAGCTGGTGGTTATAAAACTTTCTCACTTTACCACTGTTCTCCCACCTCCATTTCTTGTAGCATTTACCTGTTGCTATGACCAGAATAATGCTTCTCAAAATGTGCTCCAAACCCCCCCCTAGGTTAAAAACACATTTTTTAAAAAAAGATTTATTTATTTATGCGTACAGAACTGGGGTA